TTCAAATTAGAAATGTTTTATTGGACATTTTTGGAACTGGTTTAATGTGTATTATTATTATTCTAATTGGCAGGTCAAATTCTATTTTACACAAAATTGTTCAAATTTCTGGCCTTCCTATGTGGAGTTTGCACGTATTCCACGTGCACAGTAGCTTAATTGAAGACTTGACATTGCCCATTATTGTGACTGTGAGTGTATCTGTTCTTTGCGTGCCCTGCTATTGACCAGTGCAGACTCTACCTTGCCTTCTGTTCAAAGTCTGGCAGGGATAAACTCCACCTCATCCATGACCTTAATGGAAAATGGATTGATGGATAGATTGCGCAAGTGTGCCCCCCTCCCCCCCCTTCAATACACATCATATCTTTGTTCGGTGCAGTGGTTGCGACGTGAACAGCCCAAGGCGGCCAGGCCCAAATGGTGAAGGAGAAGAAGAAGCCAGAGATGGGCAAATGCCTCTTCACCTAGCAAGCAGCTGGGGACTGGAGGAGGTGGTGCAGTGCCTTCTAGAGTTTGGAGCTAGTGTTAATACACAGGTCAGTCTCATTCTAGCTCCATCAACTTTGGCCTGAGGAAAACTTGTTCACAAACGAGTGCATTCTAACACACGTTCTCTCACCTCTTTGCAGGATGCAGAGGGGAGAACTCCTATCCATGCTGCCATTAGCAACCAGCACAACGTTATCATACAACTCCTGATTTCCCATCCGGACATCCGTCTGAACATACGTGACCGCCAAGGAATGACACCTTTTGCCTGTGCCATGACGCACAAGAACAACAAAGCAGCAGAAGCAATCCTCAAAAGGGAGCCAGGTGCTGCCGAACAGGTAGGAATGAAAACGGCAGAACAAACCCCAACTTTCATCTCTCATGACCTCTCACATTTGCATCTCTCCAGGTTGACAATAAAGGGCGTAATTTCCTTCACGTGGCTGTGCAGAATTCAGATATCGAAAGTGTTCTCTTCCTCATTAGTGTGCAAGCTAATGTGAACTCCAGGGTTCAGGATGCCGCTAAACTCACCCCTCTCCACCTGGCTGTACAAGCTGGATCTGAGATCATTGTTCGAAACTTGGTATAGCCTCTACATATTGTGTTTGTCTTTTTTTTATTTTCATTCATTGCGCCATGTAATATTTTTGTGATACTGAATCATTTTTTATGGAGCTTTTTTTTCCCTGTGTCACTCACCAGCTGCTTGCCGGAGCCAAAGTAAATGAGTTGACCAAACACCGGCAAACCGCCCTACATTTGGCTGCTCAACAGGATTTGGCCACCATTTGCTCTGTGCTTTTGGAGAATGGCATTGACTTTGCTGCTGAGGATGAGAATGGCAATAATGGTAAATTTCATTTTCAGATTTAATTGATATTATCTGCCCTTCAGAGATGCCAAATGTTCTATTTTGGCCATATTTCGTTACGGGCAGTTGCCATGTCTTCCGCCGTTATGGGGAAGTCGAAAATGTTCAGGAGATGACAAGACAACATGCACAGTAGATTAATTTATTCACTGCCCTCCCAGTTTGATACTGTCCCCAGTTTGGGACTTGTTCAACACAGCCAGCTTTCAATATGAGCCAAAAAGTAGCAGGCATAGACTATTTGGTGTAGCTGATTAATAAGTGCATGGACTTCTTCACAGCTGTTGAACCAAGAAAGCAAAACAAGTTTTATTGAAATCCCCAGCCACCTAAATGACTGGCGATTTTCCTGCATTTTTTCCCCATTAATGTCGAAGACGTTTATCTGTGGGTTTTTTTTTTCTTTTGCCTTCTCGTTAAGGTGGGAGTTGACTAGATTTTTTTCGTTTGTTTAAATTAATATATTGCCCCATCCAATCGAATTAGTGATTAATTTAATTTAATTATTTTTTTCTGCAGTTACACTTCAAAAACTTTGTCTTCTTGTGATTATTCCCAGCTCTTCACCTGGCAGTGATGCATGGCCGCCTTAACAATATCAGATCACTTCTCACAGAGTCCAACATTGATGCTGAGGCCTTTAATCTCAGGTACATTTAACCTTCTAGGTATTTTTCATGCAACCTAAAGATATTTGCAAGTAATTGAATTCGTATTTCATTGTATCCATATATAATTCAGGGGTCAGTCACCAATGCACGTTTTAGGCCACTATGGTAAAGAAAACGCTGCTGCCATTTTTGAGTTGTTCCTGGAGTGTATGCCTGAATATCCTTTGGACAAGCCAGATAATGAAGGGAACACGGGTACATCAACCTTAGATTATTTCTTGTTCTTTGGTTACCAACTCCATATTTGTGATGAGATAAATGACACTGATGTTTTTATCTGCAGTATTGCTCCTGGCCTATATGAAAGGGAACGCTAACCTGTGCCGTGCCATTGTGAGGGCTGGTGCTCGCCTGGGCATCAATAATAATCAGGGCATTAACATTTTCAACTACCAAGTAGCAACAAAACAGTTGCTTTTCCGCCTTCTTGGTAAGTGTAAACTTTTTTTTTTTTTTTTTTTTGTGGCCCATAGTTTGTATAACCTCAGACATTTTTAATTTATTGCCGGGTGCTTTTTTTCAAGTAAATAAATGCCTTACCTAAAAAAAGACAACCCCGTTTTCCCCTCGTGAAAAATGTACGTTGCCACTAGGTAACTGTAATTACCTACATGACACAGTGAGCTACCGGAGCTCCGCTTTGACTTTGACGGTCAATTCAACAGAAAGGAAAACAAAACATGACATCCAGTATCATGCCATGCGTGTCCATGATCTAAAACACATCTTAACCCTGGGGAACCCAAGAACCCTTTTCTTCTTTGGAAAATGATGAATTACACATTAAATGACTGCTACATGTTCACTGAACACCAAAATATAGGTTTTCTCAAATATTTAATGTTTTAATCCTAATTTAGGATTAGGGCCAAATTTGACCCTTCGGGATTTAAGGGTAGCAATTGAGTAGCAGAATTTATAGGGGCCAAATTAGACCCCACGGGTTCCATCTTTTCAATTAATGCATTTGGTTTTCTCCCATTGTTGATTTGCCAAGAAGTACATGTAGTATTGGTTTAAAAAAAGAGACAAAAGAAATAAGACATTATTCTGATTAAAACAGGATCGAAAAGACACAAATCATTTAAAACTAAACAGGGAATACTCGGTTTCCGATGGAGTTCCGTTCCTACTGCAGCTCCGTAGCCAGTACACTCATGAACGCTCCCGCGTAGTAAAGCAAAAATTACATAAAATATTCGTATGAAAAACATTTCTTGGCCATGAATACAACAATCAAATGGGGGGGAGTAAGTTATTTAAACTTTTGGAAGTGCACAGTGAGTTTATTTTGTTTACACAAAAAATGCATGAAAAAAACACTAAAACATATTCCCAACTTGAATTTCGATTTTCATTTTTTTGTTTTAGATATGCTGTCCAAAGAGCCCCCTTGGTGTGATGGTTCCAACTGCTACGAGTGTGTTGCCAAGTTTGGAGTTACAACAAGGAAACATCACTGGTTAGTATCATGACCTTTCTACAGTATTTTGAGTCATTGTTTTGTCGTCATGGTGTGCCACACTTGATTTTGAATCCTGTCTCTCCAGCCGTCACTGTGGGCGCCTCTTGTGCCACAAGTGCTCTATAAAGGAGATCCCCATCATCAAGTTTGATTTGAACAAGCCGGTGAGGGTGTGTGACATCTGCTTTGACGTACTAACTCTGGGTGGAGTGTCCTAATGCACTGGCCTGGATTTTCCCCGGATGGCAATGCTCGCCACGCCGGGGCCCAACTTAGCAGTTACTGGGTACATCATAAAGGACATCAGTAGCAGTACGTACTAAAAAGAGTATTCTGACCAATTCTGGACCATTGTCTTTCTACTATGCCAGTCTTGTGAAAAAGCATTCATGTTTTAATGGAACATTTATTCATTTTGATGTTGATCAAAGTGTCAAAAGATATAAATAAATAGAAGGCAGTTCAGCGACTGCTGGACTGAGGTAACTCACTGTTGGCACTGATTCGCTTGTTTTCTAAACAAATAGTTGCTTCTTTCGGTCATTGCAATTCAAGGATAAACATCTTAATTACCAAAGCAGTGTTGGTAAGATGTTTTATCTGTGGTTAATTATTTCACTATCTGCAGCTCATGCTAAGTCACCTACCCAGAGAGAAATGCAACATGATTTATACAGCTCACGCCATCAAAATGTTGTGTAAACCTGTAAAAGAAAATCAAAATCATAAGGTCGTTACGAATTGAACTCTTCCTCTTGTGACTGTGTACTGTATTCCCTGCATAAATTATTAAATCAAATACACTTTGCAAGACTCTGAAGCATAACATGGACAGTTCCATTTCACGTGTGGTGGGGGGGGGAAAATGGCACAACTGCCCACAAATATGGAATTGTTGATGAACGGGATGCTTGAACCATTGATACATTTGGTCTGTAATAAGTATTGACAAGCAACTTTGTATGCCTGCATGTACTGTATGTAATTTGTACCATTTCAAGATCATGTCCTCTTTTTAAAATCAGTCAGCATCTGAGTACATTCCAGTTTTGACTTGGCCATGAGGTCGTATGTCAGTTGTGATGACTGTCCCCACGATGATGCCTCAAGTCAAGTTGTCTTGACCCGACACACTTATCGCTTTGTTGATTTTCTAAACCTAAAAGGTGCACTTTATAAAGATCACGTGACATGTCCGATGGGTTGGTGGAGTCAGAATGATAGGGAAGGCCGATTAGTGCGGCCTCTAAGTATTGTTAAATTGTACAGATAAATGTGTAATATTTTTGACCACTGCTACCATTTTTGTACTTACTGCAGTTTGTGATCGCCATTGTGACAGACTTAAATCTTGCCTCTGTTAATCTTTTATGCACATTGTAAAATCTTTTATGCACATGTATCGTATCTGTATGCTCAGATATCTAGCCCGTTTCTTCCAAGTGTATCCTTTTTAGAGAAAGGAAGAACAACTTTACATAAAGGTCATTTAAAACAATTTCTTTCCCCCCCTTGTTTATTTATGCAAAGTAACCCAGTTATGTGCCACTATCCATGTCACTGTCCATCTTTTTAAACTATTCAACTAAAGAGCAAGAGACCGCATGCGTCGAGCAGCCATCATATTCCTGCAGGTTAGGGTTTTCCTTGGCTGCAGATGGATCTTCGACACAGACACAACGGGATCCACTAGCACCTGCATGGAATAGTTTTCGAGGAACACCTGTCCAACTTCTTTCAACACCACCACTGGTGAAAAGAGAGTAAAAACTTCATCACAACATTGCATCTCGGTTATATTTGTACATACTCAAACTATTTATTTACCTTTTGGTGGAGCACCAGACCCTCCCTCCCCTCGCAGAGCTCCACTCAGAATTACAGGCAGGAAATCGAAGCATCTCCCCCTCTGTCTTGGCTTTGAGTTGCTGGCCCTTTGCAAGTAATGACTCAACGTGCAATAGAAACTTTGTGGGCGTTCCACTTTTGGAATAGAATCGTCCTATGACCAAACCTAAAAACAAGTCACATTTTATTCAAGTGTATTGCGGATATCGGTTAGTACATTCACATTTCAAAATATTGCACAGTTGTCCCGTTTGCTGTCAATGACAAAGCTGTTCTTGGAACTAACAGTCCATAAAACTGATAAGTTGTGGTTATAAGATATGAAATTGGTCCAGCTAACGAAAATCAAAGTATTTCTGGACACATGTCCATTCCCAACCCGCAAATGTACAGTCACATTATGGACTAAAATTGCACAATGTATGGCAAAACATTACACACCTACAGTTTGATAGGTCCTCTGATAAAAGAGCAACCAGTCAAACAGGGCTACCACCTGCAATGGAGACAAACTGGACACATCATCTGTCAAGCCGCTTTCTGTGAAATCTCCTGTTATGAAGGCCAGTGATGCATCTTTACCTGGGGAAAATAAACAGCATACTGTATAGACATAGGTATGACCCATTTTCTGTTGAATGGCCTTTCCTGTCATGATAGCATAACAAAAACAATTGGGTCATTACAGAAATGGAAGACACTACCTGAGCCTCCTAAAATTTTTCAAATAAACCATGAACTAAATAAACATGCCCAAAATTAAACCACACAGACGTATAAATATGCACATTAGAAGTGTGCATCTCTCAATATAAAAGGTAATTTGATTTGTGGGGTGCAATGTGATTCAAGGTTTATTTGATTGGTTCGATTCAGTGATCCGATTTGATATATGGTTCAGTTTGAGAGGGTATAAAATATAGTATAATATAATCCATATGATGCAAAGCGTTTCCTATTGTCATTCCACATAAATATGAATGAACTTGTCAGTACTCGAAATGTGCCATTTCCCTCAAATGTATATCTCCAACAAAAGACGATACGTATCTCGAAATAAGTGGGGTGATTCGATTCAGCTCAGTTTGATGCACAGCATTTTTTTTAATCAAAACAAATTTTCCGAGTCAAATTGGTTTTGTTACACCCCTGATGCATTATGCAGATACAGTATGGTAAATTAAATGGATGGATTGTTTTTCATATCCAATGTGCACAGTATATGGAAGACATGAGCGTCAGCAATATTATTGTAGTGGGGCAATTTATGACTAGTGTAGTCATGCAGTATAACAGATAAGGATTCAGCATATTCTAAGTTAACTAACTCTTTATCTAAGGCGAACAAGAAAAATCTAAATCACCTGCCATAAAGTGATATGCACCACCAGGCCCGTAATGTTTGATGCCATTGTGTACGTCAAACACCTGGCCTAATATCGCCAGGTAAATACCCTTGCTGCCTACTTCGCCGTCGTACAAAGACAATTCCTGGCTGTTTAGGAGTCGCCTGGGTAGCTCCTGTGTTGATTTACTTCCTGAATATAACGACCACTGACGAGGAAAGAAAAGCACCGCCAAGGATGCCGATAACATTGCAACCAATGCAGAGCAGAGTATGCTGACTGTTGATGCCATTCTTTGCGGTCGCCCGGTTATGCTGAAAAACAAAAACCATTAGAGCCCTCGCAGGTGCTTCCTTGAACGAAGAAGAAAGCGCGCATGCGCAAACGGCAACGCAAGCAACGTTTCAGGCTAGTCCACGACGTACAGTACGTCAATGCGGTAGTAGTCTAGGCAGAGATTTGTGTACAGCTCTGTACAACCGTTCTCAAACTGCCCCTCTTGTGGGCCCGACGGACTTGTTCGGCGAAGTCTCATCGACGCAGTCATGGGGAACGCGGAGAGCGGTGGTGGTGGAGGCAGCTGCGACGACGAAGACATCGGAACAGAGAGCCCCGTGTTGGCGGAAGGCAGTCCGGCCTCTGCGGCCACTGCTGTCGGAGGCACCGGTACCGGGAGGGGCGGAAGACGAGTACCGAAAAATGTCTCCGTGCCCACCGGTGGGCCGCCGAGCCCCGCCGTCTTCTTCGAACAAGTGAAACTAAGAGAAGCGGCGGCTCGTATTAGCGACTCTGGAGTCGTCATCCGGGAGTCTGTGCTGGCAGGGAACGAGGGAGTTCTGGTCCGCTGGCTGGAGGAGCGGTTAAACCGAGGAGAAGAATCCGTCAATGTTGAACAGTTTTGTGAGATGTTGGAGAGTAGAGATGCCCCCAGAGATGAATGCGAAGAGGTATCTGAACGATCACATCAAATGACTTGAATACCATGCCCGCTTATACCGTACTGCATTTGAGGATGTGCACTCACCAGACTCTTCATTCGGCATACTTGCACAGTGAAGTCAATATTGGAGCATTATAAATCTATTCACAAGATTATTGACACAATCGCCGAGGGTTTCGTTGAATAGCTTTGTAATTTGCAGTGTTGGACAACGAACGACACTGCATGCAGAAACACCTCACAGTCATGACACTGTGAAGTGTTTCTGTATTTTCTTTTTCAAGCTGGTAACCAAACTATTACAACCACCTCTCAGGTTTATAAAGCACATAACATCCCTGAAAATTACAACCACAATAATAAGCGTATTGTTACATTGACAGTCAAAACTGAGCATTGCTTTGTAAAGTTTTAATTGTTTACATAGTTTTGTTTTGAGCCCTGATCTGAATGTGATATGTCCAATTCCAGTCGTGTATTGTAACTTCTATTTCAGCATTATTTTCTGTGCTGCTTTCAGCCAAAATGTTATCACTTATCCTGTCAACTGTTAAATAACTTAACAGTACAATGGAGCACTGCTATTAGATGGCATCCGGTCCAGGGTATTCCCTGCCTTTCATCCAAAGTAAGATGGAATAGGCTCCAATTCATCTGCGACCCGAATGATGTCTGGATGGAATGCAACATTCCTATGAGTTGTCATTGTCACCTTTTCTAATCAGGCTTATTGTCAGTGCTGTCTGAACTTTGACCACTTTTGTTCAACCAAAGAATGTGAATGAATGGCCCAACAGGTGATTGTGTTTTTCAGTGTAAATGTAGCTTTGTTGGCATGTACTGTAGATGGAATGCCACTGTGGGAAAGCTGGCTCATGTGCCCAGAATTGCTGCTCGATGTCATCTTTCTGTCTATCCCTTTCTACATTATCCCTTTTTCAGTCAACATGCAGTCTATATTATTTAGTAATAAGCTAATGTAGACTTGGTCTACTATGCACCTTTCACTGTGTTGGCTTATGTATGATAAAAAATGTCACAAAGTGCACTGTCTATCTCCATTTTAGGCCTTTGGACAGTTTGATGCTGAGGGGGATGGGGTGGTAGATGTCGAGAGCATGCTGATTACTCTGAAGAACTCCAATGGAGCTAATCTACGGGGAGAGCTGAGTCATGTGATAAGGCAGCTACAGGCGTGCTCCCTAACCCCAGGTATGTGATGTGTTTAGTCAATTAAGTGCCATCAGTTGTTTTTGAGCTCTTATTTTATACCACCTGGATTTTTAAATGATGCCTTCGTATTCCCCACTCAACAGGTTTTGTTGACATCTTCTCCAAGACCAAAGACCGGTTGGGGGCACATGCCTTCAAGATCCTGAAATTTTTGCACAGGAATCACATTCCCAGCAGTGCGATTCCTTATCCTATTTTAGACGGCTTCAACAGTATCTGCACAATGAGGTCGAGTGTGGTCCAGGACTTCCTGGAGGTCCTCTTGCAACGGGAAAAAGGTGAACAGCACAGTTTGAAGTAAACAGTTTTAAGATTTATGTTTTGTCACATTGTTGACAGTATTTGTTTTACACTTTTTGTGTGCTAAGTGTTGTGCGGAATAGCTTTCAGACCAGCCGTTTGGTACAATGAAGATAACTACACACCTAAAACCGTGGTTTTTTTTTTTTTTTTCATATTCAGATCTGGATATCCAGTACAGAGCGGAACTGGACCGTGACCCAGATGTGGACAAGGTGAAGGTGGTCACACAGTGCTACAGCACGATCGAAGCTTCATCCAACGTTGCTGATGTTTACAAGATGACAAACGGAGAAACGGCATCTTTCTGGCAGTCTGACGGCAGTGCACGCTCACACTGGATAAGGCAAGGCAATTTGCTTTGAAATATGTGACGATTCAAGATTTACCTGATGATTTTACTCGGCCTGTTTTGATGTCGAACCTTTGTCTTCTTTGGGTTCCCAGATTGAAACTGAAACCAGACGTGGTTTTGAGGCGTCTGGCTGTTGCCGTGGCAGCCAATGACCACAGTTACATGCCTCAGCTGATCTCAGTAATGGTGGGCAAAAATCTCCATTCCTTGGACAAAATCAGAGACATCCGCATCCCCAGCAATGTGACAGGCTACGTTGCACTCTTGGAGAATGCCAACATTACACACCCATGTGAGTCATCACCTGTCAGTTGGTCTCATTTCATAATCATTTGTTGCCCTTGTCGAGAATTTATTCTAGAGCCTGATTGGTGCACATCTGAATGAAACCTATTTTGCCAGCTGGCCACATAATCGTGTTTAGTAAAGAGCAACCTCAATAAAGACAGGATGAAGGCAGAATGGAATGAGGTGCTTGTAAGCGAGAGCAATCACATGATTATTAACAGAACATTTTGAAAAGAGCTTTGCAGTGTGTGCTTCTGAACAGCCCTCTGCATTCCCAACCTTGATTTCATAACCTGTTATGTGCCTGTAAATGATTCACGAACGATCCAAAGATCTCTGGCCTGACTTTACAAAGACTCCTCATTGTAAATTGTCGCAGCAAGTTGTTTGATTTGTAAAGCTCCACTTTACATCACACTGTGACTCTATAGCAATTCAGCACATCATTTCGACACTGCGTGTTCCATCAGTGTGTTCACAGCATTGTGTGTTGCTCAAACCCCAGACATCCAAATTAACATCAAGCGGTGCTTGAGCGATGGCTGTGACACACGGATTCATGGTTTGAAGACCCTGGGCTATCAGATTACCAAGAACAAAGAGGTGTCTGTCTCGGATGCTTCAGCCATCTGGTACCTGTCTCTCCTCACCTCTTTGGTCACTGCCTCAATGGAGACCAACCCTGCACTGGCTCAGACTGTACTTCAGAGCACTCAGTAAGACAATGTGTTTTTTTTTTTTGCTTTGTTTTGTTTTTTAATAGCGATTTTTGTCAGCTATTACAAACGTAGAAGAAACACGAAGCGAATCAGTTTCATTCTTCAATGGTCTGACAGATTTTAATTGACCATGTTGCTCTTTCCAGGAAGGCATTACAACACATGCCACCGTTGTCCCTTACGCCTTCATCTACCAAGTTCCCCAAGTTCTTCTCTTTGAACATCTTAGAGGAGGTGGATGCATTTCTCCTCAGGATAGCAGAGTAAGACCCTGACTTTCCATCATCACACTCACCCAACACAGCCTCACTGAACTGATAAAGCTGACAGCATCGCATGAGAGACAGGCTCAAATCAATACGGAGCCTTAGTGTGCTGATGACCCACTTTGTCAAGTATACATATTGTTGCATTCCCCAGTTGTTCTCGGGGACTTTCATCAGCAGCTTCATCGTGACAAGAATGATATTATCAAACATAACAATGCAAGCTTCTTTACAGTTTCATTGCATGATCCACATTGGACATGTTCCTTGACTGGTATTGGCCATACTGTATGTATACCGTCATATATTACAGTATACGCTGTTTCTCTAATAATGTTGGTTATGATGTTGTGGTTGCTAGGGTGTTTCCCGGTTGGCTGGAAAATGTATTTCACTTACATTTTAAACCTCTGAGCTTTCACTAACCGTGTCAGACAATAACAACACCCAAGTCATGACCAACACCAGTGGACACACCCACTGAGACATAAATACGGAAGAGACTCCACACCTAAAAAATTGAGAACTGAAGAAACCTTTTAGATGAAATATGAAGCGTCGTCAACAAACAGAAACAGTTTCCCTCATTCAACTTTTGTGCCCCCTACTCTAAGGTTTACCAAAAATCAATGATCGTGGTGGTTGATCTCCTGTTTATTTGTATTTAAAAAAATACCATGAACACATGTCAGAGTTAAAATTCTGAAATGTTAAACATATGAAATGTTAATATACAGACATATAAACATTAAAACACTCCAGTATCTCAAACGTCACATTTTTAAATGTCTAACCATCATCCAGGTATAAAAAGAAATTAAGTTTAAAAAAAAAAAAATCTTTTATTTGGATCACCTGGTTCTCATCCATCAGTTTAAATGGGTATTGTAAAAGTGTGACAAAAGGCCAAACATGAAATAGAACAAATACACACGATGCTTGCTTGGTGATGTCTTGTGCAAACACGCCAATTTGATGCGTGACCTCATGCATGACTTTGATTCCAAGTTTTACATGAATACAGAAGACAATTTTGCTCCACTTTAGAATGATATCATTTGGTATGGTTCCATTGTAGTATTCTCATTTAACAACACTTCATTCACCTGGTTCACTGTTGTTTGAATTTTTTACGTGCTTTAAATGTAACTAAATGCCTGTATTTTTCAATTTGTACCTGGGAAGTTGCTGTGTGAGTCCTGATGCAGAGCTGACCCTCCTCGCCTTTGCCCTGGCCAGAGGCAGTGTGGCCAAAATCCTCCAAGCCCTTTCCTGCATCAGCGATCGCTT